TCGCCCGACGCGGCCCGCGCGCGGCCCGTACGGGCTGCGCCAGGCCCGCGCGCGGCCCGTACGGGCTGCGCCAGGCCCGCGCGCGGCCCGTACGGGCTGCGCCAGGCCCGCGCGCGGCTCGTCCGGCCTGCGCCAGGCTCGTGCGTGGCCCGTGAAGCCTGCTTCAGTGCCGCATGCCGTTCCCCGGGCTTCTGACGGCGCCCCACCCCCGCTGCTCGTCACAAAACATGAAACGCCCAAAAGTTGTCAACAATTGGCGTATCCAGCAGGCATGCGCACCTGGGCATGGCCTAGAAAGCTGTTAGCACATACAAAGCAATCATTTCGAGCCAAGGAATGCAGATGCACTGTCACTATGTTGCTGAGCAATGGAACCCCTTTCACATTGTGTTTCTTAGAGGGGTGCGTCTTTCATTTGGTTCTTCGTTACAGCAGGCCTCGCATGTTGTTTTGGAAGTACAGTTATTTTTCCGAAAATGTCAAAAGATCGTGACGGAAGAGAAATGTGCACTAGTCAGTCATCGTTCGCCAGCCTTCGCCACGTGGATTTTGGATCCGTTTTTGTGTTACACCCTACAGCCTCCGGCGGCCGGTCTACGGTCTCCGCCAGGCGCCACGTGAGTGGCATGACACACTGAGGACGACACTTGCGGCTCTTGGGTTCACTCCTTCTACTGCTGACCCGTCACTGTTTCTGCGCACCGACACCTCGCTGCCGCCGTTCTACATCCTCGTGTACGTCGACGACTTGGTCTTTGCCGCTGCTGACACTGCGGCACTCGCCCACGTGAAGTCGGAGCTGCAGAAGAGACACACGTGCACAGACCTGGGTGAACTGACAAGCTATCTTGGCTTGCGGATCACCCGGGACAGAGCATGGCGCACCATCACCTTGACTCAGTCACACATGGTGCAGCAGGTCCTTCAGCGCTTCCGCTTCACGTACTCCTCGCCTCAGTCCACTCCTCTGCCTACCGGTCACTCGCTCTCAGCTCTGCCTTCGGATGAGTCCGTAGAGCCGAGTGGCCCGTATCCAGAGCTTGTGGGCTGCCTCATGTACCTGATGACCTGCACTCGACCTGACCTTGCATACCCTCTTAGCATCCTTGCACGCTATGTCGCTCCTGGCCGTCACTGGAAGGAGCACATGGATGCCGCTAAGAGGGTGTTGCGCTACTTGTGCAGTACGTCAGGCATGGGGCTAGTGCTTGGAGGGCGAGACCGAGTTGTACTCACTGGGCACTCAGACGCTTCTTGGGCGGATGACCAGGCTACTCAGCAGTCGTCTCAGGGTTACACCTTCAGTCTTGGCTCTGGTTCAGTTTCTTGGCGTTCTACACGCTCTTCTTCTGTTCTCAGCTCCAGTTGTGAGGCTGAGATCTACGCCACAGCCATGGCTGCCCAGGAGCTTCGCTGGCTGACCTACCTGCTGACCGACTTGGGAGAGCGGCCTCGTTCTCCTCCAGTGCTGTACGTCGACAACAAGGCAGCCATTGCCTTGTGTGAGGAGCACAGACTGGAGCACAGAACGAAGCACATCGCTCTACACTACTTCCTTGCTCGAGAGCTGCAGCAGCGCGGTCAGCTTCGTCTGCGTTACGTGGCCACTCGGGCCAACACTGCTGATGTGTTCACCAAGGCGCTTCAGCCTTGTGACCATCAGCGTTTCTGTACTCTTCTAGGCCTTGTGCCTGCTGGACCTCACTTGCTTACTTCTTGACTTTGCTTGTACTGTGATCTTTATGTATATACCTGCATGTTTACACTTGCTAGGTTGTGATCACTGTATCTCTTGTTATATTATCAAACTGTATGTGAACTGGTCTTGTGACCGCTTGCTTGTGCTCGGAATTTGTGTGGTATCCTTGAGATCCACCCTGAGCTTGTTTTGCTTTGCTTTGACTGGTCTCGTGACCCTCTGGTTGTCTCCCACTGCGCCTATGGGGGTGTGTCAAACATTGTATGTTTAAGTTGTGTAGGCTGTAGTGGGTTTCACCTTAGAGGGTACACAAACTTAGGGTTTCCTACTTGTACCCAACTTTCTGCTAGTTGATTAATTCCTACGTCATTCATTCTGACAGGGCTCTTCTCCGGGTCTTTCTCGGGACGCTTCTCCGTTCCTTCCATCACCTCCAGCAGATCATAGTGATCAAACACGTTCTCCATTCTGAAGGACCACTCAGCAAAGTTGTCACCGTTGAACTTATCAAGCCCGAACACTCTTGGCTCATCCCTTGAAGGCCCAAGAGTAGGTTGCACGGGCGCCACGGCTGAATCACGGGCTTGGCCTTGTGCTTGGGCTTCTCCATTGCCTCCAGCACCTCTGCCACCCCTTTCTTCAGCGCCAGCCATCGTTGTAGCTTCTCCAAGGCGCTCTGATACCACTTGTTATAGTCACAATAGGCTTCAATAGGCTTCAATGTGCCTAGAGCCAAAGATAGAGTGCGCAGTCAGATTTCTGCACAGCGGCTTCAAACGATCATAGCGATCTGCTCACACCTCCAATTGACCTCATTCAACTTGAATCTGGAGCGTCTTAACGTCGCGCAATTTAGATCGCACGATTTCATCAAGAATTGACGACACAGCGTCAGATTGAACGAATGGCACTATGGCAGCAACATAGTCTTAGAACACAAATTACGAACAGCTAGGAAGAGTTACGAGTTGGGAAGGACTCCCAGCTCCTACAAACCCCAAGAGCCGAGGTACAGTGATGGGGAACAGTGCCACACTGTCCCCAACCAAGAAGGGTCTCGAAACTACCCTTCACAAGGGCCTACACCAACTGAAATGTTACACTACACTTTGTAATGTAACTATCTTTGATATCTTGAGGTGTAGCCTTTTGGCGAGCTTCGAAAACACTTGAAGCTTGAACCAAGGCTCGGGTTCTTCATCACAAACTCATCCTTGAGTTCTTGATGGGTCTGCTGCACACACCTGCGACACGCCAAACGTTCGACAAGCGACAAAATAGAAACCGCGCACGACAAAATAGAACCCGCGCGGGACACACAAAATGACCGCGTTACACGCGGCTAGCGATAACTCGCTATTGACTTGACACACACACTCGACATCATGACCCATCATTCATACACCATTATAAGCATGAAATATATATTTATTTCATGCACTCATACCACTCCATGCACACATGCATGCACGCACACGGACAACAAGCCGAGTGCAAACCGTAGGTTGCACCAACAAAAATGTCGGGTCAACCAACAAGCAGGGGAGTCTCCAAGATCCTATCCGGCATAAACTTGAAGTAGCCGTTGTCAGAGGTCCACTGGTGATCCCCGGTCGATCCTAGGGAAGGGTTACAGGCACGTTGGCCTGGGGGGTTATGGGCGCACTCACCCGCTACACAAACAAGCCCTTTTATCCCAGTGGTTAGTGACTGGGATTCTGACATGGTATCAGAGCCGTTACGTTCCTAGGCCGCTGTTTTGTCTTTATGATGGGCCCACCGTTACCCGTTTTCATGGCGCTCCCTATCGTGCGCCCTGCTGGTCTCGTCGCGGCCTCGTTTTCGCCCCCCATTCGCGCTCCTGGTTCATCTCTCTCGTCCCGCACGCTACCCCGTCGCCCGCGGCCCCGTCGCCCCGCCGCTGGCCTCGAACGCGCGCACCGACGCCAGCTCGCAGCGCCGAACGCGGACGCCAGCGCCAGGCGCCAGCGCGGACGCCAGCGCCGACGCCAGCGCCCCGCGCCAGCACGGACGCCGACGCGGACGCCAGCGCCCCGCGTCAGCACGAACGCCGACGCGGACGCCAGCGCTCATCGCCAGCGCGGACGCCAGCGCCCGACGCCGACGCGGACGCCAGCGCTAGGCGCCAGCGCGGACACCAGCGCCAGCGGCAGCCCACGCTCCCCCTCCCTTCCGCGGGGTCCGCCGTGAGGGGGGAGAGAGGTCGCGGGGGGGAGGGTGAGGGGAAAGGGGGAGAGTATGAGGGAGTGGAGAGAGAGAAAATGCTGAGCCAGCAGCCACCCCTCCTCCTCTCTCCCTCACTGCTGCGCGTGCCGCCGTGGGGGGGAGGGTGAGATGGTGGCGGAAGTCAGCTAGGCATCTGCAGCTGCCGCCCGCTGCTACCGTGGCACCTCCTGCTGCTGCCCCTGCCACCACCTGCTGTTTCTTCTGCTGTCTTCTGCTGTTGAGCGGCAGGTGCTGCCGTTGAGCCCTGCTGTGCCGCCGCACGGTTCCGCCTCACGTACCCGCTCTCCAGGCGACCTGCCGCCACATGCACCTTTGTCTGTTGCTTCTACCTTGGCTGAGGGGTTGGTGCAGCTGAATCTGCCACCACTGCACCGGTTGTCAGTGCTCTTGCCTACTGTTGCTGTTTTCTCTGTTCGTGGTGTACCCATCCAGGATGTGTTGCTACACAAACTCCTGCTGCAGGCAGTTATGGGGGAGTGTTAGAATATATCTGTAACTGCTTGTAGCTGTAGTTTAGTGTAGCTATTATGAACTATTGGTGGTGCACCACTTCTTTCTTTCCTATAACTTTGTACCATTTCTCATTATTGCATCTCTTTTTGGCTAACTCTCTCGTCATGCTACTCTCTCAAGTCTCCTCCTACCCCAAACCCTAGTCTTAACTTAATCTACTACTTTGACATGGTATCAGAGCGAAGGTCTCGGGTTCGAATCCCGGTGTATGCACCTCGGGCATCCCAGTGCGGGGGGGTGTCAGAGGTCCACTGGTGATCCCCGGTCGATCCTAGGGAAGGGTTACAGGCACGTTGGCCTGGGGGGTTATGGGCGCACTCACCCGCTACACAAACAAGCCCTTTTATCCCAGTGGTTAGTGACTGGGATTCTGACAGCCGTAGCTCGGTGCAATTCTGCCTGCTGTCACCTGGGTCGCCGACATCGGCAAAGATCCACTTCGCCGACCTCCGACGTCACCCTGCGAGGACCCTGCAGCCGCCGACGACCGCATCCCTCGCACCTGAACGCCGCCGACTTCATCGGCGTGAATCACACCACGCTACATCGACGCCGTGCCTCCCGCACTGCTGCCGACTTGGTCGCCCCCGGCGTTGACGCCCACGTCGACGCCGCCTTCGTCGTTCACCGGTCGAGGAGACGCAGGCCGAGAAGGGTGCTCCGTCGCCCACACGGAACGGATGCCAGCGTCGACGACCGCCCAAGGGATGTCGCCGAACTCCTTCGCCTCATGGCGTCTCTTCGCGCTCTCCAGCCGTGCCTCCAGGGTGTCCACCACCCCCGTGTCACCTACGGCGCCTACCATGGTGACTACCGCACAGCTGCCGGCCTACGAGCAACATAGGTAAGGTGCCTACTAAGTCGGGTAAGTCGGGTGCCGTCCACGCTCACCGCACCATGCGGAGAAAACTACTGCAACGGGAGCTAGACTGCGGGCTAGGCACGGGTGCTCGTGTGATCTCTGCGTTCGTTGTTCCTTAGTCGTTTCCTTGTGCGCACACTACTTGCTAGTTCACGGGGAGAATTGGCAAGAGTTCCACTAGGAAAAGTTCACAACAATGATAGAATGAAGTTGGCAAGGCAAGACTACATCAGAGCTAGCATGCAAGCAGGATGACTGCAAGCGCAGCGGTTGACCATGTGCCAGCACGACTTGGTCGACCGCGCTCCAGCAGTGCAGAGTCGCGGCTTGCCAACGTTGCAAGTCGACGGCGTGACAACAGCGCAAGTCGACGGCGTGCCAGCGTTGCTCCTGCAGTCCAGCATCGCACCCGCTTCGCAGGTGCTCGCAGATGATTGGCGTGCAGTGCCTCGTCACCTGCACAGTGCACACACCAAGTCCACTTCGTGCTGACGACAGCTTCTGATCAGCCACGTCGACCTCGGGATACCACCACCGAGGTCGTCCTCGCCAACATCGCCTGGGCGACCGTCGCATGCCTCCGCAGAACCTCGTCACCCAGGTAACCTGGTCGACCGAGCAACCAGGTCGACCAGAGGCTCCTGTGCGTGCCCGTCGACCACCCAAGTCGACGACCACTTCCGGTCGACCTCCCCAGGTCGACCACTGCCTCTGGTATGTGCCGGTCGACCTCCCAAGTCGACGGCCACCTCCAGTCGACCTCCCCAGGTCGACCACTATCCCCTGGTCGACCAGCTCTAGGTCGACGTCACTCCTGGTCGACCAGAAGACCTGGTCGACGTCACTCCTGGTCGACCAAAAGACCTGGTCGACCAACCAGGTCGACCAGAAGGCTTGGTCAACTTACAAGGTCGAAAAAAAGGTCTGGTCGACTTACCAGGTCGACCAGAAGGCCTGGTCGACTTACCAGGTCGACCAGAAGGTCTGGTCGACTTACCAGGTCGACCAGAAGGTCTGGTCGACCAACCAGGTCGACCAGAGGTTCTGTCAGCCGACCATCCAAGTCGGCTACCCCAAGTTGGCGTCACCAAGTCAACGCCCTCTGCAGGTCGACTTCCTAGGTCGACCACCCGAAGTTGGCGCCCTACGGAAGTCGGCGCCCTTGCAGTGGCTCCCGTGCAGGTCGACCAACCTCGTCGACCAGCCCGCCCACTGCTGCAGGTCGGCTGCATCCCTACATCCGACCACGAAGTCGACCCTACCCAAGCGAGGACTGTTTCTTGGCGCTCCACTCGCTCGTCTTGTGTTCTCAGCTCCTGTTGTGAGGCTGAGATCTACGCCACAGCCATGGCTGCACAGGAGTTATGCTGGCTCACTTACCTGCTGACCGACTTGGGAGAGAGGCCTTGTTCTCCTCCAGTTCTGTACGTCGACAACAAGGCCGCCATTGCCTTGTGTCAGGAGCACAGACTGGAGCACAGAAAGAAGCACATCGCTCTGCGTCACTTCCTGGCTCGAGAGTTGCAGCAGCGAGGCCAGCTTCGTCTTGCTCACGTGGCCACTCGGGCCAACACTGCTGATATCTTCACCAAGGCACTTCCATCTGGTGATCATCAGCGCTTTTGTACTTTGTGCCTACGTTTCCGCACTTGCTGTAGACTTGCCTGTACTGTGATCTATATATATATATATATATATATATGCTTACTCTTGCTGGGTAGTGATGACTGTTCTCTTGTTGTATATATACCTCTGCATGTGAACTGGCCTTGTGGCCCCTTGCTTGTGCTCAGAGTGTGTGGTGACGTTGTGATCCACCATGAGCTTGCTTTGTTTCTCTTGACTGGTCTTGTGACCCCTTGTTCTCCCCCACTTTGCCTATGGGGGTGTGTCAAACTATATAGGTTATATTTGTGTAGGCTGTAGTGGGGTAGCCAATATGGGGTACATAACTTTTAGGGTTTCATATTTGTACCCAACTCTGATCTAGTTCATTCATTCCTGCCTATAGTTTCTGACATGATCCTCCTGTGTCGACAGCCTCGGCTGGAGAGCAGAGTGAAGCATATTGACGTGAGGTACTTTCTCCTGGGAGAGCTACAGCGACGCGGCCAGGCACGCTTGGACTTTGTGGCCTCAGAGGCCAACACTGCTGGCGTCTTCACCAAGGCCTTGGCGCCTGGTGACCACCACAGGTTTTGCTTGCAGCTAGGGCTTGTTGAGGTAGTCCCTCGCTTGCTGTGGTGTTGCTCTTGTTTGCCATTGCCCTTACATACCGTATTCCTCCGGATATACCACCCTAGGGTGCTATGATAACTACACAAAAAAAAGGGGGGGTCTTGTCATCGGAAAAAGCTACATTGCACCCGGGTCTTTACATAATGTATTTTTTTTATAGCGTAAAAGGTTTAGAACTAAATGTACATATTTGCCGTGGTAGTAGATTGTTGGTTGAGTGCGCAAAACCGAGGACTGGGCGATAACGTTAGTCTCGAGAATTAGCTGCCACATTGCAAGCTCCAACAAGGCCCACTGTCAGGCCCTGATTGGTCGAAAACATTCATGCAGTCACAAAGGCGGAGCGCCCGCAACAGCCTCAGCTGCCTCGCTGGGGCGGTCACGTCCTTGTACTGAGGGCACATTCCTGAGGGCGCATTCCTTGTGCTGATGTTAACATGTAGATGGTTAATGACTGGAAACCCTATGCTATTTAGGCAAAAACTGCAATATTACCCGTACATAACACCCCCCCCCGGGTGCTATATAGGATGCCCCCAAAAGGGGGGGTATAGTAGAAACGAGGCCCGCTATAGCACCCCCCCCGCACAAGCCACCCGGGGGGTGCTCTATTTCGGCGGGTGGTATGTCCGGGGGAATACGGTATTTTGTACACTCTTGAACTGGCCTTGTGGCCGCTGTTTGCTTATGCTGAGAATTTGTGTGGTGTCCTTGAGATCCACCCTGTGCGTGTTTTGCTTCTTGTCTTGACTGGTCTTGTGACCGTTTGTTCACACTGCTTGCTTAGATACCCTTCACTTAGCCTATGGGGGTGTGTCAAATGTTATTATTTGTTATAGTCTGTAGTGAGGTGCTCTTTAGTGAGTACAACTCAATTAAGTTGGCTTGTTTGTAATGCCTAGCTCACACAATCTTGACATCCTCTCTCAACACCTCCTTCCTAACCAATCTTCTCTAAGTCCCTGCCGCCTTGTGACCACCAGAGGTCTTGTGTGCAGTTAGGTCTCGTTGACACAGGTTCTCGCCTTGCATAGTCTTGAATTCTCTCCTTGCTTTGTTTGTACACTTTATATATACCTCTGTAAACTCTTGAACTAGCCTTGTGGCTCTTTTGCTTGTGCTCGGAGTGTGTGGTGACGTTGTGATCCACCTTGAGCTTTGTTTTTTTGTGACTGGACTTGTGACCATACCCTTCGATTTTGCTTAACACCCCTCCCATAGACTATGGGGGTGTGTCAAATGTTGTGTTCTTACTGAGGTGTGTTACAGGGGGTATTACTGTTAGTGTTAGGTTTATGTACCCCAACCAACCTTAGTCAAACTAACACTTTCATTCTTGGCACCCTTACAAAACCAAGATTCTTGCACTGTAGAAAAGGAGAATGCGGATTAGAATACTAATATAATTAAAATTTATGGTCACAGCTAGGATAAATATAGTACAGTTCTGGTTGTTTGTGGAAATGTGTAGCTCACTTAATGTATAGTAGTCAGTAATATATGAATTCCAATTCCGTGGTAGAGAACTTTCTGTCTTCTCAAAAGAGTACAACTGAAGTGTACTTGGCCTAGCATATGTTCGCTGCTGATTTTACCCGGCATTACCCTGCAGTGCCGAGTGCCACTCGGCCCGAGGTTCGTGCCAGTCGCTCTGTTGTAGTCCTACTTCTCTTGCAGTCTATAGACAGGACGCATCGCTTTCCAGCAACCTCTCTCGCCTGTACAGAAAGCACCAATCCCATGCGAGCGGAATGGTGTTCGTCTGTACTAGCGTCGATTTCGTGACAGCGTCGATTTCGTTGGTACAGCGTCGATCTCGTCGCTACAGCGTCGATCTCGTCGGTACATCGTCGATCTCGTCGGTACAGCGTCGATTTCGTCAGTACAGCGTCGACTTCGTCGGTGCATCGTCGATCTCGTTTATCGTTGACAAAGCACAATGGGTCTGCGGTCGTCAAAGGTCAACGCCACTAGTACCACTGATGAGGCACAAGCGGAAACCACCACACCGCGCTGGTGATTCCTCCGTTGGTGGCCCGTGAGTGCCACCCCGTTGGCGGAATGCGTGCCTGTTCCCTCAATAACGACCGAAACGGATAAAAAGGAGGGACTGCACGTAGTAGCCGCAGCCATTATAACTGAAGCTGTTCTGTCTCAAAAGCTTAGAAACCCCGTTAGGTCTACTGCTACTGGTACCGTCTGCAGGTCGGTCTAGCAATGGCGCGGCTTCCGTCTCTCTGCTTGGCAGCTTCCGTGATTCTCGTTCTCCTATGTTGTAAGCCCGTCACGATCTCGTCCTCACCCTCCCTTTCCTCGCTCTCACTGTCTTGCACTCTTGACGACTTGTTCTTTTTTCCGAGATCACGGGATCTCTCGCCGTTACTGAGCTGACTTTATTTACGTTCCTGTAATAAAACCGACAGAATTAGATGCAAACTTTTATGATGAAGGATACTTTCAGCAATCTTGACGTCCTTCCTGTCCAGCAATCCAGCCAAACTCTCCTACTCTCAGAACGATTGTGCTTCAGCCTGCTGCTCCTGGCAGTTGAGTCGTAGACGTCCTTTCAAGTGAAGGAATATCTGAACAATTAATTTCGGCTTGAGCGTTCATCTGTTATGGGGCATGCAAAGGTTGTTTTCTGACTCACGACCACTACATGGGGCGGTTATGACATTCTTGGTGCTACTGTGTGGGCCTGGTGTTGCGTTTGCTGATATGTTTCTGTTCTTTGTGCTCGTCGAGTTCACAGGCTTCTCACAGGAACTTTCAGGCACGACCTGCTCTGCAGTCGCGGTAAGTGCGCCCCAAGCAGTGTGTCCCACATTCCGCCGGTCCTCCATTCCTGAGCACTTTTCCTCCTTCGCTCCTCACGGCATCCTTACAGCTACGCAGAGCCACATCTTGCCCCTCATTTCATGCAGCATGCGAAAGCAATCCTGGTTGGTGGCAAGAAGGGTTGGCCTGGAGTCAAGCATTGTGTCAAATGATATATATGTGTGATATATATTGGTAGGCTGTAGTGGGGTAGATGTTATAGGGGATAACACTTTAGGGTTGTGTTTCTTGTACCAATCTCTCTCGTCAAGGCCCCTAGATTCGTTTTGAGGTAGTCTGACGCCTCAGAGTACACCCCTCTTCCTAGTCTGGCTGTCAGAGTTACCTATTTTTTTTAGTCTGAAAATTCAGACTTGCACAACTTTTTTTGTCTGAAGTGTCAGAGTTACTTTCATTTTTTGCGATGTTCATGCAGTTTCGTAAAAGCATAGTTATACCGTATTCCCCCGGACATACCACCCGCCGAAATAGAGCACCCCCCGGGTGGCTTGTGCGGGGGG